AAACAGACTTAGCCAGATCTGTCTCCCTGACTTGATGTTCTACAGCTTAGTGTCAGAGGTTAGGCCGGGAAACTGGCCTCTCTAGCCATAGTCACAGTCCATTAGGAGCAAAAGCAGCCATCAGTGTTACGGTTCTGACTACACACCCCAAGAGTGTGGGCCATGGGCTGCAACAGGAAGGACCAGAGCACCAGTCAGAGGATACATGAGGATGAAACCAAGAGAATGACAGCTGACCCACTGGCCCTCCCCACCAAGAGAGCTTTGGACCAGAAGCACTATGTGGATGCAGCAGATAAGGAGGAAAACTGCCCCCTGCGTCTGCTGGGGGTGCCTCTCGCAGTGAGCTTGTTCAGACAGCAGAGGGAACTCTTCATTTAACTTTCAACCACTCCAAAGCCCCCATGAAGCTAGGAGGTTGACCAGGAGGGACTTTATCAGGGCTGGGCAGAGATTGCAATGGGAAAGGTCGTGAGCGCAATAGGCACTACTCCGAGATGCAGTGAGCAAACATCCCAGGGTGTGGCCGCTCCATTGAATGGGCCGTTGGTTGCCTAGGCTCTGATGGATAGACTGAATGGTCATCTCTGGTGACATCTTTGAAAAGATGTCCATGTCAGGTGAAAGATTGCCCAGTTTTACACCAGGGGAATCCAAGGATCAAAGAAGAGATTTGCTCTGAATAAGCTGAATTCATGAGTCATTGCAGGAAATGTATAACTTGAATCTTTGCATATGGAATATTAAGTAGTTACTATAATAAGAAAAAGCTAAGCCACCATCACTAGTGAATATATGAAAAATATTTTAGTTTCTTAAATACAATAACAACATAATGTTATGTTACCTCTGCCAAGGAAGCTCCAGATAGTAGGACTTCTGCTAAGATTTATTTAATCCTGTGTCCTCTTAAAATTGAACATAAAGATGTTTCTATCTTCCGTTGTCTAGCAAAATAGTCTAGAACAAGGATCCTGGTCTCTGGAATTAGTCATGGGCAATTCCAGCATTTATGCAAATTTGCCTGACCTTAAGTGATGATATTGACCATCTCTAGGCATCAAAGTTAATCCTGCAGGATTAGTCTGAGAAGTAGATTAGCTGATATATTACCCAGCTGTAAAAGTACCCAGCCTAGTTTCTGGTGTGTGGTAGGTAAGATGGCAGTATTTACTATCAGTGTTATCATTCTCATTACCACTGCCTGGCAAGGTGACATGAAACAATGTATTTCACCTGCCTGGTCCCTAAGAATTTTTCCCATTTGTGAAAGGGGCTTAATAATACCTCTCTCATAGAGTTGCTGCAAAGATTAAGGAGATGAAATAGGTATAGTGACAAAAATGGCACCTGACACGTTATAGGAATGCATGTCATATTTGTTTTCTTCCCTGACTTCCACAGTTTTCCATTAAAGCCCAAGTGGAAGCAATCAATAAAAATAAATTTAAAAAATTAAAATCCTAAAACAACTGATGCCAAAATGAGAAATAAAGAGGTTTTCTCCTGATTCTCAAAATGGAAGCAGAATGGTAATTATCTCCATCAAAGGATCATAGAAAAAGATCTGATATCATCAGATCCCAGAACAGCAAACAATGTTTTAATGCATTGTCTCCTTATTTTTAGGAAATTGCTCAGAAGACCTCTTATGTATCCTGAAAAGAGCTCCATTCAAGAAGTCATGGGCCTACCTCCAAGGTCAGTAACCAAACCCAGGAAACCTAAACATATGAAAACTACCTCTGTGGCTTTTCAACAACTGCTAAGCCAGGAGTCACAGTTAGAGCTCCAGGGCCAAATGTGACCTGCAGATATGTACTGTTTAGTAAACAGGATATATATATATTTTTTTATTTGAATTTGAATGTCGTAGTGGGGAGAGTGTTTTTCTCCAAAGCTACATGGCTTCTCTTTCTTCAGCCCCATTCACGCTTTTACGTCTCCTACCTGGCCTCTGCGGGTGTTCATGGTCCCCGCCACCACTGCCACCACCAGCCCCACCCCTCACCTCTCCTTATTCAGCTACCTACCAGTTTCAGCAAAGTATACAGTCCTTTTCCTAATGGAAGGGAGGCAGGCGCTTAATCTTTGCCTCTATGAAGTTATTCACAAGGGATCCACAAAATTGCCTTGTCCCCAGATTGACAGCTTAATGAACATGTCAGCAAAGGCCCAATTTGCATATTGCAGTGTGCTTCAGGTAAGAGGTCCCTTACAAATGAAGCACTAAGGGGCACTTTAGACTGCAGAAGAATGAGCTACAGAGATGGCCAAGATTCTCTGAATGGCCATCCTGCTCATCTAAAAAATTCAATTTTGCAGTTAGATTAGTTCTCACTCTTCAGTTGAATTGCAACAAGGTTTAAAGGGAAAGCATGGAAGCAATTCAAACCCATGCCAGCTTCCCAGCTCTGAAAGTCACCCCTACCAGTCAGTGCTGATTTTCACTTTAGGACTTAGAGACTCACCTTCCAGCACAAACCTGTCAGCTTAGAGGGCCTGCTAATTCTCTGCTTTTCAATAAATCCCGGATGGCAAGAGCCCTGTAATAGGCACATGAGGGACCTATGCAATTATGTTTGGCTTCCCATTGAAAGGAGACATTCAAAAATTCAGACAATGAACAGTTAGAGGATACATCTTAATGTGAAAATTAATTGCAATTCTCCTGGACATCATCACACCTAAATTGGTTATTAACTGAATAATATTACTGAATATCTTACCTTGTACTTTCTGCAATGCCTATCAAACTCAATATTTTTGAATTTCTTATCCCTGATACCCTCTGCAATGCCCATTCATGATAAATGAACATGATAGCTCTGACCTTGTAGAGAACAGTCCAGGAGTTTATAATCTGAAAGGGAAAGATCATCACCATCATCATAGAATAATATAATATGATAATGATTCCGTGGAAAACCATCCTGTAAGAGGTAGAAGTAAAGTACCATGTGTGTTCTGACCCTCCAGCTTTGAGCATTGGAGAAAAGGAAGAGGGGCAGTTTTATACCTGTGCCTTGAATAATAAGTAGACTCTAGAGGGAGTAACATGGAGGATACTCAGATGATTGAAATGTTACAGAAAACATGGGTCTCGAATGGGGAACTTTGAATAAAGACAGAATTTTCCAATGTGTACCTACGATCTTCTCAATAATTCTGTTTTTTATACTTTTCTAGTCGCAAAGCATCTAAACCAAACCAAGTTGTCTTGGAACAAAGATGGCGTTGTCCATGGAGTCAGATATCAGGATGGGAATCTGGTGGTCCAGATCCCTGGTTGGTACGTCATCATTTGCCAAATGCAGTTTCTTGTACAATGCCCAAATAATTCTGTTGACCTGAAGTTGGAGCTTCTCATCAACAAGCAGATCAAAAAACAGGCCCTGATGACAGTGTGTGAGTCTGGAATCCAAAACAAAAGTGTATACCAGAATCTCTCTCAATTCTTGCTGGATTACCTGCTGGTCAATACCACCATATCAGTCAATGTGGATACATTCCAGTACATAGACACAAGCACCTTTCCTCTTGAGAATGTGTTGTCCATCTTCTTATACAGTAGTTCAGACTGAACAGTTTCTCTTGGCCTTCAGGAAGAAAGTGCCTCTCTACCATACAGTATTTCATCCATCCAAACACTTGGGCAAAAAGAAAACTTTAGACCAAGACAAACTACACAGGGTATTAAATAGTATACTTCTCCTTCTGTCTCTTGGGAAGAGACAGCTCCCGGGTTAAAAAGAGAGTTTTGAGTGAAGTATCTTTCAGATAGCAGTCAGGGAAGCAATGTAGTGTGGTGGGCAGAGCTCCACATGGGAATCAGAATGGATGAATGGATGTCCCAGCCCAACCACCAATTCACTGTATGGTCTTGATCTATTTCTTCTGTTTTGAGAGCCTCCAGATAAAATGGGGCTCCAGTACCAGAGCGGCTAGCAACCGTGCCCTAATGGGAAGTGAAGGGGAGCTGGGTGTGAGTGTTTACAGTGTACCCTTCACGGGATACTTCCTTTATCTGTAGATGGCCTAATGCTTAATTGTCCAACTTGTGATCAAGGACTCTCTCACACAGGAAGCTTCTCTATACTGGCAGATACGCTTGTGACTTGTGTCTGAACCGTGCCCAGTTTATTCCTGTCTGGCCATCACTTTGGCACTAGGAGCCTGACCTTGTGTTCCACACAACCCCGCCCTTAGGAACCTCCAGGGGAAACCATGCCTGAGGCAGCCCCTCATTCTTGAGATGGAAAGCACAAATTTAATACACCACCACAATGGAAAACAAGTTCAAAGACTTTTACTTATAGATCCTGGACAGAGAGGCCATAATGAGTCTGAAGGGCAGTCATCCTTCTCTGGGTTACATGAGGCAGGAATGAGGAGTCAGACATTGAGAGCAAGCCAATTAACAACCTAGGTAAATAAATAGGGTGTGATCACTCTCAATTCACTGGCAAATGCTTGAGAGGTCTGTTTGAAGGATGCAACAGAACAGTGGGAAATCTAGTCTGCTAGATAAGAGAGAGATGCCTCTCAGTTCTTGTCTCTGGCCAGAGGTGTGGCATAGAACTGGAAAACCCTACCAAGGGTGACTAAGCCCAGCTTCTGGTATGAGAACATTAAGCTTGTATGCAAAATGGATGCCAAAGGAACATAAAATTATAAGAATTCGCCATACTTTCCCCTCCCTGGAACCCAGGATCCAAGTCTAGCAAATGAAAGGACTGGGTTTGAATTGCTTCAAAACCTTTTCTATCTCAGAAGACCAGACCCTTTGAACTGAGATTCCAGATGCAATTTTGGAAGCTCTCCAACCAAAATAAGGACCCCCTACCACAGTATACCATTGAAGACACTAGTACTGATCTGACCTCATCTCAGCAGAGCCAGAATATGGGGGACAAGGTTCAGGGTGCCTTGCTTAATGGTATGAACTGCAGGATCTAAAGGATGTAATGGAAAGGACTATTTCAGGGTTTTTTCTTTTCTACCATGACCCAGAAGAAATGTCATGTTGCCAACGAGGACTAAGAAAAAAAAAAAAAAAAAAAAAAAAAAACAAGGTAGCTCATGCCTGTAATTACAACACTTTGGGAGGTCAAGGCGGGCAGATCACCTGAGGTCTGGACTAAGAAAAAAAAAAAAAAAACTTACTGTTGACCACCTGAATCTAAGAGACTAACCATCCAGAATCTAAGAGACCGTCTGGGTGTTTGGGAAGCCATCTGACGAGGCCTGAACTCTATATCAATTAGACTGACAATAATTGAGCAGCAGGCGTTTTTCATTTCCTGCCAGGAAGGTATTGTGCCTTTAGCAAACAATCAGTGTGTAATAGTGATGTGGTCATCTAGCCAGGGAATGGCTGCTCCATCTCCTGCGTGATATATTCCTGCTTCAAACACCTCTCAGAAAACCAGTTCCGTGGAGAGTTTTTGAATTCCCACAAAGTTGTTGACAGACAATTATGACCCTGAAAGTGGGGAGGACTTCTGAGAAACAGCAACGTCCTCTCCTGCTTGGGATAGCCACATGGGATTTCTCTAGCTGTGTCCAACTTGGCATCCGTACATCACCTTTGGAGGAGCACCTTGACAAGCCATTTGAGATGGAATGTAGGCCCTGAGGCTATGCTTCAGTAAGAAAAGATGGAAGCTTCCCTGCCAGACCAAAATATGGAGCAAAATTTGCATTTTTCTCAAGAAGGAGAGAAAAGGAGTAGGAATCCAGCAAAGTTTGTCAGAAAAAAAGCTAGAAAAGATTTAAAAGAAAAAAAGAAAGAAAAAATCAGCAGTGGTGGTATGGATGAGAGGGACCTGAGAGAACAAAAATGGCTAAGGGAAAATTTTAAGTCATCTGCTGAGCAGTATGCTATGTCAACCTTCTCCTAAGTCTCCTCTATGACATATTCAGTAAAGTCTACATTTCTCTTTAACTCTTTCTGTGAGTAGATTCTTTGGGAGAAGCAGAAATTGGAAAAGGTGTTGAATTCAGCAAGCCAAGTGGTCTGTGGTAAAAACAGACTTTGAGACTCAAAGCTAAAAAAAAAAAAAAAAAAAAAAAAAAAAAAAAAAAACAGGGAAACATCTGGCATTTGAGTTACACATTAACTGCATAGGACAAATGAATCTTGCTTAGACCAACTCATGTATTCTTGAAAAGGTATATATATGCAACCCACTGTGGATTAACTAAGCAAATTTTCTGCCATCTCACATTCTAACTCGAGAAAGATTCCATTTTCATTTTTCACCAACTGTCCTCTGAGGAGAGGTACCTGACTTTTGCACTGTGAGTGGTTCATAATTTCAGTGTCTGTCAAGCAATGCTCAGAAAGCCAACACCTACAGACGCAAGAGGTACATCATTTAAATGAATAATGTAACCAAACCAAGAAAATGAGAGAGAATAATCATTAATAACTCAACTGATAGATACATAGGGAGTGGGCAACCCAGGAAGTTTAAAACTAAATTCTCTTACTCTTGAGGGTTAACCAGCCCTGGGAATGTTACGAATTAATGATACTATGCTAGTAAAATGATATCTATACAAGTGAAATAAATAATTTATCTAACTGAGAACCCAGGCTACCTAAAACATATGCCTCTTTGGTAAAAACCCAACTTGAGTGCCTTCCCTTCCGCCTACCCTCCGAACCCTGCCTCCCCACCACACACACACACTCAGTGTATTCGCACAACTTTTAGAGGAAGATGATGAGTGAGTCGATGAAAAATAACGAGTCAAGGTAGAGTTGCCCTGACTGAAGTGCAGTAGTGTGATCTTGGCTCACTGCAGCCTCCCCTTCCTGGGTTCAAGTGATCCTCCTGCCTCAGCCTCCTGAGTAGCTGGCACTACAGGTAGGCACCACCACACCTGGCTGATTTTTGTATTTTTAGTAAAGAAAGGATTTCACCATGTTGGCCAGGCTAGTCTCGAACTCCTGGCCTCAAGCAATCTGCCCGCCTTGGCCTTTCAAAGTGCTGGGATTATGGGCGTGAGCCACCACACCTGGCTCCTAACCCTTTTCAGAATCACATATTGACTATACATTGAGTCTGTAGAGAAGAGAGACCACCTGTGCCTCATGTTCAAATCACCACCCTGGAGTGACGGGGGTGAGGGCAGGGAAGAGCAGAGGAAAGCTCTGAATGTGAAAGACTGTCCAACATAAGGCTGGAAAGACATGACCTGAGAAATTGCGGAAAGGCTACAGGAGGGCCTATCAAGGCTGGTGGGCAATAATGGAGATTGGAGTAGGAAACTGGGTTGAAACTCCAGCTCTCTCACTAACCACACTTGAGGACTTTCCAAGTATCTGCTCCCTGCTGGGCTTCCAACCAATGGGACTTCCGTCAAGCCTGGCAGATCTCTCAGGAGTGTTCCGGAGATGGCTGACTTCCCCATCCTCTTAATTGAAGGAGTTTGTCCCTTCTATCCCAGAATAAGTGGTATTCCTGGGATTCTGGGAGGCTCCCTTGTTTGGTAGATTCTGCCAGCTTCCCTCAGCACTTCTTCCTTTTAGTATTTGTCCACATCAAAACCTCTTAGGCCACAGGGCTATTCTCCAAGCCATCCTTATGTGACTGGGGATTTGGGGAAGGAATTAGATAGTAGAGTCACAGTAGAGTAACTGCTATATATTTAATTGTCTGAATATACTATAGTTTGTCCATTCTCTTATGCTAGAACATTTAATTTGCTTTTAGGTTTTTGCTATTACACACAAAGCTACAATATAAGCACATCTTCTTGCACAGTTCCCACCCCTAGTTGTCATTTTTCTATACAGCAAAAACACTCTTGGAAAATTCTAAATGGTGTCACAAAGATACTTTGTTAACCATGGCTACCAAGGGTTTAGATGGCTCTGTCATCAGAGCTTATGACCTGGAGCTTAGTCTCTGGAATCTGAATGGCTCCTTCCATACTTTTTAAGTACTTCTCTGCTTTGTATATTTATTCAACACACATATCCCAAGTGTCAGTAGGTGCCAGGTCAGTTTACAATCCAACATGGTGTGTGCTATAGCTCTCCCAAGCCACTGCAGAATCAGCCCTCGTTAACATAGGTTTGAAACCTGCCTTTCAATGCACTCTGGGGCTTCCCTGGATCTAGCTCTCTTCCTGGAAAGTAAACAAACACCAGAAAGTGTGAAGGACAAGCACAGCTCCAGAAGATTTCTCCCCCAAGATCATATATGTTCATATTCCTCATGGGCTTTTCTCACGGTTCTCTCCTGAAACCCTATAATGGAAGATCGCCACTCAATGTCTACTATAATGACTTTTCAGGTGTTTTTTGTTTTTGTTTTTTTCCTATCATGACCCAGAAGAAGAAATGTCATGTTGCCAACGAGGACTAAGAAAAAAAAAAAAAAAAAACTTACTGTGACCACTTGAATTGATTTTTATGATGCTCTCATAAATCACAACCCACGGTTTCCAAAACATTGTTCCAGTGTGCCTTCTCCTGCTCCACATGTTGGAATGCTAAAAATATACTTTCCTTATTCCCTTGCAGCTTGGGTTCTAGTATTATCTAGCCTGAAATGGACAGAATTTTGGAATGTTTGTCCATCGACCCAGCAAGCACAGGTTTTTGTTTTTTCTGCGGCTTCATTTGCAGAGGTTTTAATGTTCAGACACTAGCTTAGTAGTTGAGGTGAGCCTGGGTGGTTGGGGAGAAGCATCCATTCTGCTGATAGAGTCTGTTCCAGATGTACACTGGTTCTGGAGCCCGGCAGCAGTAGCGGCTTCCTGATTGTAGTGGTTTCCTGTTCACGGCAACAGTTCTGTGGTTCTAGCGGGGCAAGCTTCCTGATTGCAAGGTTACTGGAGAGACAGCAGCTACGTTAGCAGCCCAGTTCCTAGGAGTCGCATTATAGGTTGCTCCTGAAAGCTCAATCTCAATTCTGTTTCCTCACCTCTCCTGGCAATTCCACAAGCCATTTAATACCCTATGATAAACCCCTTCCTGCCAAACAAGCTGAAGTGAAGTCTGTTCTCTGCAGCTGATTCCTCATGAATATGATAATAACATGTACAAACTGACCTCACCAATGTTTACAAACCCACCCCACCATACTCATCCTGAACTTAACACTATTCCTACATTCCAAATCTCAAGGACTATTCCAATCTCTGAAGATCCTTCTTCTCACTTCCTACTCAATTAACATCCAATTCTTCCAGTTTCCTAGTTCCAGCCACCACCCAGTGGCATTACTCTGAATACCTCCTAACTCACAGCATTGCCTCCAATCTTACTCCTTATAAATCCCATCTTCAGACAGCAATAGTATCTCCCCATTGTTCTTGGAATTGATAGTGATAATGGCCATTTATCAAGCTCTTACATGTTACGTACTTTTCCTGCACTCACTTATTTAATCTTCAAAGCAACTCAATGAAATAGGCATCATTATCTCCATTCTTCAGATAAGGACATTGAGAGTCTGAGACATTGAGTAGCATGGCCAATGTCACACAGCCAATGGATGGTAGAGTTGGGATTTAAGACCCAGTTTGTCTAACTCCACATCCCATGCTCCAGTCACTACAAACATAGCCTTCCAAAACTCTAAGCTCTTTCCACCAGCTCTCTCCCTATCTCCTGAATGTTTCTCTAGTTTTGTGCTCAGCCCCACCTCCTTGTGCTCTATGCTCAAATCACATTGCACTCTTTCCAGTTCCTCCAATCTTTCATGCTCTGCCTAGCCACCAGGTGCTTGTAGATAATTTTTCTGCTGCCTAGGATACTCCTGTCACACTCTTTCGCCTGATTAACTCCTATCATTGTTCTAATTTCCATTTCAGTGTCACCTCCTCAGAGAAGTCTTCCTGACTCTGCTGGCTTCACATAACGCCTTGCTGTCTACTTCCATACTTCCCCCATCCTTAATTGCATGACACTTTACCCTTCACCCCTCGTTCTCCCTATCTCCAACATTCAAACTCCCAGGCGGCAGGAACCCTATCAATCTTATTCAGCACTGGGTGCTCACAGCCCAGCCCAATTCCTGGGACATAGTATATGGCCATTCAATAAATATTTCTTAAATGAATAATCAAAGGAAACCACTTTAAACATGAGTTCATTTTAAGAAAAAGATATCAAATAAGCCATGCCCCCCCCAAAAAAAAAGAAAAGAAAAAAGAAAAACAGTTATTTTCAAAATATGGAAATACGAATTGAAAGCCTCTATTTTTCTTAGAAATAATTTCTAGCACTCAGGAAATAAGAGTGCCTATTAGAGAAAGTTGAAATTTTTAGAAAGCAGAATCTACCTGTGCCATCTGAAAACATGGAAGGGAAAAAAAAATCTTCACTTACTTTATTGAACCCCTTTTCTGAGCAAGGTGTGGTATATTTGCTGTACAATCCATTGCCCTTCCTACCTCTAAGATATCTATGTGCTATTCTAGTCATTTTGTGATTAGAAATAAACAGAGTAATCTTAGAAAGTTTTTTGTCATTGTGTTTTGTTTTGTTTTGTTGTTTTGAGACAGAGTCTCACTCTGTCACCCAGGCTGGAGTACAGTGGTGTGATCTTGGCTCACTGCAATCTCTGCCCCCCCAGGTTCAAGCAACTCTTCTTTCTCAGCCTCCCAAGTAGCTGCGACTACAGGCGGGTACCACTATGCCCGGCTAATTTTTGTATTTTTTAGTAGATACAGGTTTTCACCGTATTGGCCAGGCTGGTCTCGAATTCCCGACCTCATGATCTGCTCGCCTCAGCCTCCCAAAGTGCTGTGATTACAGATGTGAGTCGCCATGCTGGCATTTTAGGTTTTATAAGTTTTATTTTATTTTTGATTGATAAAAAACTTGTGTGCATATTTAGGTAGCACAACGTGATATTTCAATACATGTATACATTATGCAATAATAAACATATCCCTTTAATGAACATATCCCTTAC